CAGAAGGCATACGTTAGGCAGTGGAGCCTGCTTGCTAGGCGCCGCTTCCGTCGTTCAGTGCCATGGTGTTTTGCTGTTTCGGAATCGCCCGCTAGAACTTCGCTGTGGAGCTGTTTTGAGGGCATGGGAGCTGCGCTTTGGAGCTGGTTTCTTGTTGGTTTAGAAGGCAACGTTAGGCAGTGGAGCCTGCTTGCTAGGCGCCGCTTCCGTCCTTCAGTGCCATGGTGTTTTCCTAGAACTTCGCTGTGGAGCTGTTTTGAGGGCATGGGAGCTGCGCTTTGGAGCTGGTTTCTTGTCGGTTCAGAAGGCAACGTTAGGCAGTGGAGCCTGCTTGCTAGGCGCCGCTTCCATCCTTCAGTGCCATGGTGTTTCGCTGTTTCGGAATCGCCCGCTAGAACTTCGCTGTGGAGCTGTTTTGAGGGCATGGGAGCTGCGCTTTGGAGCTGGTTTCTTGTTGGTTCAGAAGGCAACGTTAGGCAGTGGAGCCTGCTTGCTAGGCGCCGCTTCCGTCGTTCAGTGCCATGGTGTTTTGCTGTTTCGGAATCGCCCGCAAGAACTTCGCTGTGGAGCTGTTTTGAGGGCATGGGAGCTGCACTTTGGAGCTTGCATGGGAGCTGCGCTTTGGAGCTGGTTTCTTGTCGGTTCAGAAGGCACAACGTTAGGCAGTGGAGCCTGCTTGCTAGGCGCCGCTTCCGTCCTTCAGTGCCATGGTGCTTTGCTGTTTCGGAATCGCCCGCTAGAAGTTTGCTGTGGAGCTGTTTTGAGGGCATGGGAGCTGCACTTTGGAGCTGGTTTCTTGTCGGTTAGACTTGACGGCATGAGAGCTGCACTTTGGAGCTGGTTTCTTGTCGGTTCAGAAGGTAACAGGCAGTGGAGCCTGCTTGCTAGGCGCCGCTTCCGTCCTTCAGTGCCATGGTGTTTTGCTGTCGCGGAGGAAGAATGGACATGCTCCACTCCTGAAGAAGTTGATCACGGAGGCTGGGTTCGATTTTGTGGGTTCGAGCTCCAATGGAGCGGTCAAGGGGATCACAAGAAGTTGAAGGTGGGACAGCAGTCCTACACTCGGGATCTGTTGAATCAACATCAAGTAGAACACCCAAGACCGGTTCCGATGACGAAAGCGGATGCCGAACTTCCGGAAGAAGAACAACCAGCAATTGAAAACATACGACAAGCTCAAACGGTAGTGGGCGAGTTGCTGTGGTTGTCCATAAGGACAAGGCCGGATATCAGTTTCGCCGTCAGGCAATTGGGAAGACAGGTGAACAAACGGCTCAAATGGGTGGTGAAAACTGCACAACAGGTGTTTGGTTACCTGAAGGGAACCGAAACTCAACATCTCAGCTATGGGGTTTGCACAAGTGATGATCGTGGTCCCGAAGATGACCTGCCATTTCACCGGGAGATGCAGCAAGTCGAGAATGTTCTCGGACATTTCATTTGCCCCTGCGGGTGAAAGGTCACTGCAGGGTATCCTAGGTTTTTATGGTGGAGGGTTGGTTCAATGGGAAGCCAGCCGTCAAGCTTTTGTGGTGTTGAGCACCGCCGAAGGGGAACTGATGTCCTACTTGGAATCCATGGTCATGGGAGACTCTCTGGCGTCTCTCATAGAGGTCGTGGAAGGACGGAAAATCGGGCAGAAGATCATCTACGGAGACAACACGGCTGCAATAGCCATCTTGGAAAATCCTGACGGTCCGTGGAGGACTCGACACTTGCGGTTGCGAGCAACAGCCCTAAGGGAGCGGTTGAAGGATGGTAGTTGGATCATCCGTCACCTTCCAGGGGTAAACTTGTGGCCGATTTCCTGACGAAGATCATCGCTGTGAAGCCCAGCTGGGAAAGGTTCTGGAGGTTCGTCAATCACCAAGGTTCCGGGGTTCCAAATGAGGAACCATCAATGGGGTCCAACCGTCGTGAAGAACAACCTCTGGGAGAAGAACAACATCCGGAAGAACCAGACCAGGAGATTTCATCCTGGGACAACTACCGAGACATCGCTGGTCGATGTGTATCAGTGGTGAAAAAGGTGGTTGGTCTGGCCGAGAAACATCCAGAACTAGCCGATTTCCGGCATGAAGCCCTGAGCACTGCCATTGGAAGGCTGGTGCAAGTACTGGCTGATGCGTATCGCGTCGCTGAATCCGTGGTCAAGGATCGGTTCCAGTTGGAGTCGGTCTTACCGTTTTTGGAGAAGAAGAACATTCCTGGACAAGTTGAACACCCTGTAGAAGAAGAACCTAGGGGTATCCTAAAACGGGGAAATAGATCCAAAAGGGGTAACTCAAAACCAAAAAGCGTTCATTTTTGGGATGAAAATCCACCAGTTTTGAAGGTTTTGCGGGTACAAGATCACCACGGTCATGTTGCCCAAGTGCACAGTTCGGGAAAAGAAGAACCGGATGGTCTTGGGGATGGACAAGAGAAAAATTGGGACTTGGATTGTGCCAGGTCCAAGCGAAAAGACCATCGAGCTGCCGAAGTTGTACCAAGGTCGGGTTCCACAGAACCGAGGGATCTGGTTGCAACTCGGGGAATGGAATTTTGGGGGAGTGTGATTAAGATGGGTGAAATACAACTTCATGGTAAACCCTCAAAAGGGATAGCTCCGCAACCAATGGGAACTCAAGGCGATCAGAAGGAAAAAGAAGTCCGGATCCTATTGCAAGTGGGAACCGAAAAAGAAAAAGAAAAAGAAGAACTAAAAAAGGATAGATCGCCGGGAAAAGTACATCGGTGGCTGGAGAAAAAGATGATCAAGACCCATGGAAAAGATCATTAGCTGCCGGTGGAAAAGATCAGTAATTACAGGGAAAAGATCATCAGCGCTGGACCCAAAGAACTCCGTTGGGCGCTCTTCGAGTGCGGCGCTGGTGAGAGAGGGAATTCAAAAACCTACGAAGTTAGGGCTGTAGTTTTTGAGTCAACCCGAAGTGGAGCTCCACGCGACCAATAGATGAAAGGGGAATCAACACCCGTTTGGGATCATGGCTCACGAGGGTCTTCGCCCTTCTGGCTGGGGGAAGGGCGAGTTCCCAGTGGAAACGTGGCCGCCCCTGAACTTGTTGTTTTGGTGTTGAGGAACCTGGATTCCTGCGAGCAGGAAGGGGGAGTGCGGTTGGGAAAACAGCACAGAGTACCACTGCACCCCCCCTAGGACCTTTTTAAAACTTTTCACAGTCGTTGAGACGTCCTCCGACTGTTGCAACATTGGCTCAAGGGCCAATCAACCGACTGGCTCAAGATCACCGAGCCCAATCTGGAGTGAAAAGGTGCAGCAGCATCTGCCTCTTGGTGGGGACCTCCGGGAAGGGACTCGGTCTGACTTTAGAACCCGCGGTCTCAAAATGAATCAACCTTTCATCTTTGTTCATATATATATATTCAATGTATTGCTTTGTCAGGAAAGAAAGGACGTTTCGCAAACATGACTCAAGATGCCACGTTGGTTCTATGTTGCACGAACTCTTTTGTAGGGGGCGGGGCGGTAAGTCTGTAACAATGGCTCAACATGTCAACTTTCTTCATATGTTGAACGTATTGCTTTGTATGGTCGAGGGGTGGTAAATGTGCAAAAATGACTCAAGATGCCACGTTTCTTCATTTGTCCGAACTATTGTTTTGTAGATTTTGTAGTGTACGGAGAGGATGAACAAAATTGATTTGAACTAATAGCAATTAAATTTTGTGTATACACTCAACAAATTAATTTGGAGGGAAGGGCAAAGACATTTCAAATATACTCAAGATGCCAGGTTGGTTTATATGTTGAAGGTAGTGTCTTGTAGGGGACAGAGGGGGTAAATGTTTAACAACAACTCAATAAATCTCAATAACGTGTCAACATCATATGTTGAACGTATTGCTTTGTAGGGTCGAAAGAGGCCAATTTGCAAACATGACTCAAGATGCCAATTTTCTTCATGTGTTCAACATATTGTTTTGCGGGGGAGGGGGATGAACAATTTAGAACAGACTTAACATTTCAACTTTGTTCATAATTCAGCGTGTTCTTCTGTAAGGGAAGGAAGGGACATTTCAAGCATGATCAAGATGCCAAGTTGGTTCATATGTTGAACGATGTTGAACCTAAGTGTTTTGTAAGGGACGGGGGGTGTAAATCTATAATGACTCTACGTATCAACTTTCTTAATATGCTGAACCTATTGCATTTTAGGGTCAAGAGAAATTAAGATTTTCAGAAAGCACCTCAAAGGTTCACTTTTCTTTTTTTTGTTAAACGTATTGTTTTGTTGTAGGGGAAGGAAAGGACATTTCAAACATGACCCAAGATGTTAAGATATGTTAAGTTGGTTCATATGTTGAACGTAGCATTTTGTAGGGGACGTGGTGTGTAATTATTTTCTAAAACAGTTTCTTATCATGCCAAACTTTGTTCATATGTTGAGCGTATTGTTTGTATGGGTGGGGCGGTGACGAAAATAAATGACTTAACCTGTCATTTTGTATTTGTTGAACGTATTGCTTTGTAGTGCCGAGGGGCAGGTGAATTTATAAAGGGAAAAACTTTAATTTATGAAGGGGCGGTAAGTCTGTAACAATGACTCAACATGCCAACTTGTTTCATGTGTTGAACGTATCGCTTTGTAGGGTCGGGGGGCGGCAAATTTTCAAAAAGACTCAACATGACCATTTCTTTATATGTTCAAGGTATTGTTTTGTAAGGTCGGGGAGTGCGAAATGTTCAATGACTCCACATTTTATTCTTTTTCGTAAAAATGACTCAAGATGACAATTGTCTTCATGTCTTCAACGTAGTGCTTTGTAGGGGAAGGAGGGGGATTGTGCTTGAAGTCAACGGCTCGATCGCTAAATGTTCGACATGTGGTGAAGCAGTCCCAAGTGACCTCTATACTTCTATGGTAAAATTGTAACAATCGAAAATGTTACCAACATCCGCGGTAAAAACGGTAAACATCGAAAATTTTACCAACATCCGCGGTAAAAACGGTAAACATCGAAAACTTTACTTCTTTCTTTTTTCCCTAGCAGGGGGTACAGGCGTATACCCTGTAGGCCAAACACGGCCACGAACCTGCTTAGCTTACAGGTAGCTCAGGTGACGCGTGTGTAGCATCACAAGCAACTGGCGAGAACATCAACTGGCACCAACCTGACAAAAGCCGATATCTTCCAGCCTCCGCTTGTAGAACTTGTTGCTCCGTGACTTGTCTCACGTCCTCCAGCGGAAGACTGACACACAAGTACAAAACTCCGTGGGAAGAGGACAGCAGCTACCACATGGAACAGAAACAACTTGGCAACCATCAATAAGCATCCTGGTCATTGAAGCAGTGCCAAACGCCATTGTGCTTGGCCTCCCAGCTTCACGGTAAGCAAAATCAAACTTTACCAGCCCACCGCCTGTTTGCAGAATTTCACTGCAAACCAAGTTGCGTATGTTATGTAGTGCCCGCTTTTGGCGGATGACCCACCTGAGTTGACGTTTTGAGGAGCAGCTGATTCTGCAGTTCTGTTTTAGTCGTATCGCATCTGACCACCGTGCGGAGAGCGAATGAAACGTTCACAATACTTGTTTGAAAAGACCTCTGCACTATGGCACTATCTCAACAAACTTTTGAAGCAGCTGCCGGCGTTGATGCAAGTAAGCAGCAGTGCACCACTAGACCGTACAGGTTGTACTTTGCCTGCACTGACCAAGTCTCCACACTCAGAACTTAACAAAAAATCATATGAAGCACTGCAGAGTCGCCAGCCTCTCTATCTTTATGGCTGGTGTACGGGGCTATGTTCAACGACCTTGAAGAGAACAGCTATGTCAAGAATTCTGGAACAAACTGCAATGGTTGAAGCTAGGGCATGGACACTGGAAACTGCACCTTCTTGTTCAGCTTACCTGGTTTAACGTGATGAGATTCATGCCGCGCCACAAACTGTAGTGAGTACCATGTGCAGTACACACGCACATGCATGCATATGTTAATGCATGATAGATGATGCAACATGCTGAAAAAAGAGTGCATGTTGCAATGACCCTGGAAGGCGTACAAAATGTAAGGTTTGAGTCTGAGAGAAAATAGTGTCACTCAAATACAAGGACTGAAGCAATAACTGGCAACAAGCCCTTCACTGACAACCCAAAATTCTTGCAAACAAGCAGCCACTACAACCGTGGAGAAAGTCAAAGCGCTTGAGTTGAAAGCTCAGCACTGGTGGTGCTGTGTGAATTGAAAACCTCCAAGCAAGGAGGCCACGCACTTCTGCTTGCAGCGTGGGATGTTCATTTTTTCGTAGCATAATCACACATAAACATTCAAGTCATTTGGTTTCCGAGCATGAGTACCATGTTTCTTGTTTCAACTTGCTTCAACCGCTGCACATTCATTGCCCGTGACGAGCTTCTGGGTGGCAAACATCTTGGTGGCATCAACCTTCTGTTGACATTTCTTGCACTGGTATTTGTTGGCACCACTGAGCTGTTCACCTTAGATTTCAGCTTTGATATTGTCTGAGCTCTGTGGATTCCAGGCTGAACTGCTATCAACTACTGCACTTCTCCAGCCATGCTGCTCTTCGTGAAAGCATCCAGGGCCTTTTCCAGGGTTGAAGCATTTTTTACCTCACGGCCCAGCGGCGACTCGAAGACAGAATAAATGACATTAGATGACATTAGATGACATTAGATGACAGTAGATTACATGAGCACAATCAAAACAAGCCCAAATAAGGCATCCGTATCATCCATACCCTGCCCATTAGTGCCTCGAGGCTGATGTCCATGAAAGGATCGAAAGTGTTCGACCTGAGATGCCAAAACACGGTGCTCTTGAAGACCGGAACAGTCGAAAAGGTCTCAAATGCAAGTGTATGCAATTGTGACAATTGTGTTAGAGGCCCAATACGAGCAAGGCCAAGGGCGCAGCGGATGTTTGCACTTCAGGCACAACACCTGACCCGCTGCTGCTTATCTGCTGGTTACAGTATCTGCAGCTTCATACTGGTTCCAGCGCAGAAACCCATGCCATACAAAATTGAACGATGTTCAATGAGCCGAGCCTGAGATCGCAAAGATCCACCGAAAAGCTGGCATATGGAAGTGGTCTGTTGCACCTAGGCATGCAACTATGGTCAATGCCCCTTCAGCAATGAATAAGCATCAGCTCAATAGCTAACACCCGAGGTGCCATAGTCATTTGATCGCTTACGATGAGGAAATTCTCTCCTTCCATAGGAGTTAACATACCGCAGAAAACCTTCCAGTTCTTTCCGGTTAACCTTCACCGAGTTCTGCACTGGCATTGGAACTGGTTGCTGCGCTGCTGGTTTCAGCAGAGATTTGTGGCACCTGGCAGGACAGGCACAACCCCCAGGTGGAGGTTCCAGACACCTCGATTCCCGAAATTTGCAGCACGACTTCACAAGAAAATACAGCAAGTGAGAGAAACTCAGGGAAACATGCTGAGGGCACGAATCCAGAAAATGGATCAAGCACTCATGGGCATCCTCTTGACGCCCGGCTTTGTAGCTGCTGGCAATCTGCGGGATGTGTTCCAATAGGCGCTTCGCTGGCTTCATTGGTGCCTTGCTGCTGTTAAACACTTTAAGAGCATGCGCCTGCAGCAAGCAGAGAGTACAAACAGTGCTCCCTCGCTTGCGTTTGCATTCTGCCGTGTGCTGCTTGGAAAGCAGAAACCTCTGCAACGGTCCAGTGTACACTAGGACTTGCAGCACGCTGTTGAAAAAACACGTGTTGCCGAGATTTTGCAATCCACGTCCAACTCTTCCGGGACTCACTTCGTCACGCGAGAACACGGAATACTGTGGTTGTGGAGGTTCCTCCTCCACATCTTTGCTCTTCTGAGATGTGCCTGCTCCGGATGCTCTGACAAACTCAATCACTCTGGGCAGCAAGGGTTTGTCTGTGACTAATCCATTGATCCCAACTGAAAACTGAAAGAGCCTGTGGCTGAAGCCTTTCGCTTCTCAGTACCAAGCCGATCCTGGCAAGGGATTCAACGTATTCAACATGATTCAACTGGCTACTCTCCGCAACATTGGCCATGGTCAAATCACTGGAATCGATGCGAGTTCAGCCATACGACCTGGTAGAAATTGTCCTTGAGAAGTTGCTGGGATGGTGGCCTGCTGGACTGCTGCGTGGAAGGAGCTACAGTATATTTCAGATTCAGGTGATGGGGCCAACAGGCCCAACGCCTTGGGATTCTCCCAATCTCTTTCTTTCGGTCCGATTGGGAGGATTGCTCAGAGTGCTCCTGACATCTGCCCATTGCGCTGAAACCGCACAGTTTTCATACATCTGAATCAGCAGGATCTCTCCTTCTCATTGCTCTCGCTCTTCTCTTTTGTTAAGCGCAAACGTTTCACTTTCGGCCTGGATCGAGTACCCAAGTAAGCACAACAGGAGGACTGCAGCAAACTTGAACTACAGCAAGCTAGTGGACTGCAAGGACCCGCCTCTCCACCCCCGACCCCAGGTTCACTTCTTTGAGGTGCTCCCCTCAGGCAGCTCAACAGTCCGGTCCAGAGATGCATTGGCAAATACACGCTAAGCCCGGTGCCATTGCGCTTGAACCCATTCAGCGATGTTCTATTGTCCGTGAGCAATCCATTGATGCAATTTTTCAACGTCGAATCCATGGCTCCGAAAAGTTTCAGGCAGCAATCCTTGGAAGTTTGAAATCTGTATGCATTATCTGTATTTTTTCTGTAAATGCCGTGCCGTGGACCTGTGGGAAATTCTGATTGCAGCCCTTGAGAGAGAGATAGAGAGAGAGAGAGAGAGGAAGAGAGATGGAGGGAGAGAAAATTGTTGTTTGGGGATTTCTGGACATGATTTTTTATAAATTTCCTATCAGCATACTAATGTTTCCGAACAATTTGTCATCCAACTATCTTCAAGGCTGCGACTCTGACATCTGACCTTTGATTTCACAAAGCAAGAACTGCAGACACACACAGGGTGGAAAGAAGTCAGTGATGAGCAAACCCATCATTGAATTCGGACCCTATGGGACCTTTCAACAATGAAGCAGCTCGGGCACTTGCACCGAACGGCAAAGGCATTTTTTGTCCCGAATTCCGCTGCACGTCACCAAACCCGGTCAAAACCCGATTGACCTGAACCCGACCCCAACCAGGCCACAGCCAACGTGGGCTTAAAAAAAAAACTGTCAGATGGATTCTCAAATTGTGTCAAGTTGCACTCTAAGAGGTAAACTCTTCTGCAGGTATGGATTGCCTCAAATTGTCAAATCGAAGCAGAAAAAAAAACGCGCTGCATGATGCTGCATGAATGTTTTAAGAACAAAATGGCACCACACGCACGAATTCCATACATGTTGGCACCCATACTTCCATGCAAAAAGATTGGCAAAAACAAAATGTTAAGTTGAAACATGTTGAAACACAAACAAAAACCTCCCATAGCCGCCGTTCTGATCCCAACTGCCTTCCATTGTGTCAAAAATGAAACACGCGAACCCATGGCCATAAATCTGACAAATCTGACGGCGTATAGTGTTCACTCATGTTCGCTCACTGTTCGCCTAACAAATCAAACACGTTGGCAGAAAAAATGCACCGAACAGGAACATCATAACCAATGCAAATGTTATTTGATTTTTCGATATCGCGAAATCCACCGGCACCTATTCTCGCATACAAAAAGGCTTGCCACGGGACTTTTGGTTTCGACCAGTGTTCCCGCCGCGTCGGAAGGAACTTTGCGCGCGTGCGGTTTGCAGTTTATTGAGTTTTGCATTCATTTTCTATGATGGGCACCATTTTTCGATCACATGTCAAAACGGGTGGCCATGGCACTTTTGCCCATGTTCGTCAACCTTCAACACCGCAAACGCTATAAGTTCGGAAGGGAAGGGAAATTGAAAGGAGTAATTCCATTTTTGTGGCGTGTCGTTGCAAATTTGGCAGTTTTAGCTTGCACATGGACACCATTGCGCTTTGGGAACCCATGTATTTTTGGTTTCGAAACGCCCAGAGCAATCCCAGCCACGCCACTAGTGAAAACGCATTTCTCAAGGAAATTCAAGATGTTCTATACTCACCCAACCCCATGGTCAAGAAAACTACGCAACTGCCAGCCAGTTGTGACACTCTGCCAGCATGTATGCATATGTGTTTGAATCTGTTTTGAATCTGGTGGCAAGGCTGTGAATTCAGGATGGGTTGGATGATTTGATGAAACTTTGTGGTTTGGCATGTCCAATATTGATTAGCATTGGCGTTGAAGTTTGAACTGGCATTTTCGTTTTTCACCTGGTGATGCTACTGCTCTGGCTGGCCTAGCGCAAAAAAACATCCGATAGTCGTGCGTGAGACTGCCCACTGGACCAAGGGCAATGGCAAGTATGCATATTTAAGAATTTATGGATATTTGTAAATATATATATATATGAATGATAATACATACATACGCATATATATATATGTGTGTGTGTGTGAAAATACATTACTTAATTACTATAAATATGCTTAGAAAGTAGTTGTTTATAGTAATTAATGGGTGAAAGAAGAAGGAATTACCAAAATGGCAAAATTTACTGTATTAGACACTGCATTGATGATGATATTTATGTTGCTTCAACCACTCAACCATTATCCACAAGGATGGCGTGGCTTTTGGATGCTAGAAAAAAACGGAGAAACAGCATTATAAATCATATCAGAAAATGAATAGTATAGGCGTAGAACCTTTTTTTTTAATTGAACTTTACGAACAATACCGTTGTCAGAGTAAGGAAGAACTATTTAGAAAAGAAGGTGGGACAATGAGACAATTGAAATCCGTATTAAACAATAAAATTCAACGCAGGACTTTAAAAGAATGGAAAGAAGACAATGCTGATGTAATAAAGAAGAAAAGTGAAATCTATTATGATGAAAAAAAACAGACGATACTTAGGAAGAAGAAAACATATTACATTGAAAGAAAAGAACAGAAACAGGTATTATCAAAAGCAGGATGAATACAGCGAGAAAAACAGACAAAGATACCATCAAAACAAAGAAATCCAAACAAAGAAGATTGAATGTGAATGCGGAGGTCATTATGGGAATGGCCACAAGCTGCGTCATTTCAAAACAAAGAAACATCAGGCTTACTTACAACAAAAGGATCATATAATTTCAAAAACAAAATATTATTTCTATATAACATTATATATGACAGCAAATCTGGAAAATATTGACAAATTTAGTCATCTAGGGCTTCGTCGTCGTCCTACCTATGAAGAAGTAATTGGATTACTAGACGAAAATAAAACAATAACTGGAAAGTTGCCAAACAGAGATGCTACATTTTTCAAAAGCAGCCCAGAAGGAAGTTATTTTGATGGGGTAGATGCTATGGAACAACTAAAGGAAGAAGAAGGTAGAATGCTGTTGAGACAGATGAGTGGTATATTGCTTCGTCCAAATGCTAGAACGGCAGGAAGAACATTTCATACTACAAGATTTCAACAACTACCCTCAACATCACCAGTAATAGCCCAACCGTCCCAGTCAATGGATGTAGAAGAAGAACCCCCAAATCAACCAACGCAAGCCCCTCCTTCTTCAAGAATGACACAAGCCTCACAGATGAACTTAGAACTAGAACAAAGAAGAAGTCAAGCAATGAAAAGAAAGGAAGAAACAACAATGAACCATAGAGGAGAAGTATTTAAACAATCTAAACCAACTATAGCAGAACAATTACTGAATATTCAACCTCCAAGAGTTATACCTGAAAATGTCCCCAAATTTTCTTCAGGGGATGAAGCATTAAAAAAACCTGAACGAAACAGTATCAGCATCTTCAAGTCAAGCTCCAATGGATGCATCCAACAAACCTAAAAGAGGAACACCAGAGACAGAAGTTGAACCAAAGGGGAAAGCCGGACGCCCCAAAATTAAATATGTTGATTTAAGAACAGAAGCTGAAAAGAGAGAAAGCGATGAAATACCTGAAGAAACCAAAAGAAAGAAGAGCAAGAGAGAGAACAAAAACAAAGAAAAGAAACAAACAAGAATAGAAGCAAAAATGGCAAAAGAAGCAACAAACACTCAAGGAGAAGATGCTGATGATGAAGTTGAAGACACAAGAAAGGGAAGCAAAGCGAGACAAACAATACAAAAACCAACTATACCAAGTAAAGCAAATATACAAAGAATATACGAAACATTTACTAATGCTAAGAACAAGAACACAGTACAGCAGAAGAATTTAAAGAAATTAATCATATCATATCATATCTTCCAAGAATTTAGGAGAGCAAAGGGCAAAGGGTAAAGAAAAATCTAGACCCAGCTTTTACATAGAGAAGCTTTATCACAGAGAAAAATTACACAGATAAGATTTTTGCATAAGCAAGCTTTTAAAGTGATAAAAGCTTGCATTATCGCAGCCTTGATGCAGCCTCTCCAATACGACTTACGATGTCCAGCTGCAAAAAACAAGAGTATTACGTACGCAGCCGCTGCGACAAGCAACCTTGACGCAGCCATTACGATGCGATTTGCACAGGCTGAGTTGCAAAGCCCAATGGAACTAATACGCGCAACGGCGTCGGAAATTGCAGCTCCAAAACCGGATCTCGACGCCAAAGCAAAAAAAAGACGATTTTGAAGCACTTTCTTTTTACAAGGAATTTTCACAAGGAAAATTACCAACGCCAAAATTGCGAAAATCTGCTGACAAATCACTATCGCAGCCTTAATGCTGCCACTCCAGTACGATTTCCGATGTCCAGCTGCAAAAGACAATAGTATTAGGCATGCAGCCGCGGCGCCAAGCAACCTTGACGCAGCCATTAATGCTGGATGCTGATTAGTGGCTAGGTTCGGTATTGTGACAAATTTTCTCCAAATTATTCTGAAACCCATGTATTGTTTGGAGGGTTCACTTTTGTGGCGAAAAAATGGGAGACCTTTTTTTTTGGAAAACAACAACTTGTAATTGCTGAGAGGCAGGCTTTTTCTTCAAAACCTTTTCCAAAAGCAATTGCCAAATTCAAACTCCAAGCCTTTCCCAAAGGAGCCAATCCCTTATTCAACCCTTATTAAAGAACAGCTTTTCCACAATTTTGAAAGGCCATGGACCAGGAGAGGCTCTATTTCACTTTAGCAAGTTTGCTTGCTGGGCTCGCTATTGCAGCAATCTGTGCCAGAGCAGCTCCTGGAAGCCCAGAAGAGAAGCAAACCTTTTCCAAAAGCAATTGCCAAATTCAAACTCCAAGCCTTTCCCAAAGGAGCCAATCCCTTATTAAACCATTATTAAAGAACAACTTTTCCATAATTTCCCAAGGACCTGGGCCAGGAGAGGCTCTATTTCACTTTAGTAGGTTTGTTTGCTGGGTTCGCTGTTGCAGCAAGCTGTGCCAGAGCAGCTCCTGGAAGCCCAGAAGACTAGAAGAGAAGCAAGCCATTTCCAAGCAATTGCCAAATTCAAACTCCAGGCCTTTCCCAAAGGAGCCAATCCCTTATTCAACCCTTATTAAAGAACAGCTTTTAATTTTGAAAGGCCATGGACCAGGAGAGGCTCCATTTCACTTTAGTAGGTTTGTTTGCTGGGCTCGCTATTGTAGCAAGCTGTGCCAGAGCAGCTCCTGGAAGCCCAGAAGAGAAGCAAGCCTTTTCCAAAAGCAAT